GCATACCTACAAAGATATGTCAGCTGGCAAATGGTGCTAGAAATGTCTGGCATCTGTTTAAAAATGCATCACTGGAATCACTGCCATTGTCACCAGATACAAAACAGAAGCATTTCTTGCATATCTGACTCATTTTTGCTTCTATGTCCACTAATCCCATGAAATAAATTCCTCATCTAGGCCACTGAAATCTAAGGAGGATCCTTTCTTGAAGCATCATGGTCAACAGTTCCAGAGGGCTCCAATCAGGGAAAGCTTGGGAAGTGCAGCATGGGGAGGGAAACAACTGCAGAACCTGATACTTTGGGAAGTATCATAATATAGAAGAATTTCTCTGTCCCTGACTGGACTTCTTCAGCAATGAGCTGGCTGCCTTTGGGCTCGTTTTCCCTTCCCTCATAGTCCTCACTTCAGGTTGCCTCTAAACCTGTCCCTTTTACACTCACCCTCTTGTCCTTTCATTCATTTCCTTCCCTCTAGGATATTTTCTCTGGGTTAATCCCACATCCCCAAATTCACAATGTACTGAAATCTTTTCACCTGTGTCTTTCTTGCCTGCACAGCTGCTTCTCCCCAGGCCCACCTTAAGTTCTCAGAGGGTGACATGTTTGTCACTTGCTCCCAGGGGACTGCAGACCCTCTGCCACCAACTGCAGCTGTGGTATCAAAAAATGCCACCATCAAAGGTGGCAGCTCCCGGCTGGCAGCCACCCTGCATATCACTGGGACAGCTAGTTGAGCACTCCAGTATTTAAGCTCCTTATTCTCCTAGCCCAGTTTTTCTTCCTTTTAGCTGTCCTGGTTACTAGCAGGTCACCAGTGAGGAATGTTCTGCTGATGTTCTCTCCCTTGTTTTTGTTTAAAACCAAAGCTTCCCTCCAGAGAGGTGTGACAGGCCCTGCATTGTCAAGACATGAGCAGCCTCCAAGGTCTCAGAGAAGGGTTCCCTTAGCCACCCAACTAACACAATGCTCTGGAAAGGAGAAATAAACCCATCATTTCAAAATTCACCAGTGAAAATGACTCTCATTCCTCTGCCTGTTCCTCCCTAGCTGGGAGGCTGCCTCATCCAGCCCCCTCCTCCAAGTCTCCAGTGGAAGGAACCTTGGCATAACCTTGCTCAAACCACAAACAATGTCTTCTGATGAGTGCAGGATTGAAATTCTGAATTAAAGCTGTAGAATAAATGAGTCATATTGTGCAACAGAAAGGTCAGGGCACTCATAGAATGTAAACTAGCAGGGGGAAATGATATCATGATGGCTCCAGGAATATTAAACTGGCTTCTGCCAAATTTAGCCCCGTTTTCACAAAGAAAATGAATATTCAACTTTTAGTAAATATTAGGATTCTAAAAATAACATAAAGAGAGGGAACACTTTCTATCCTGGATTGAAACACACTCTTGAATGGCATTTGTGTTAGTGAAGTGTCAAGGAGATAACGTATCTGCAGGATAAACAGGCCCAAAAAAAGGAAGTTTCAGATGACCAACACATAAGTCACTGAGAAATGCAGCTAACATAACTTGCTAAAAAAAGCATTTATGAACACTTGGCATTTGCATAGAAGTATTTTTACAGGTTGGGTAAAGTTTGTTGTAGCTGGGAAGTGTAACTGTCACCCTTTGTTTCAGACAAGTTATTTTTTTCCTTAGGGGAGCAGACAGCTGAAATGCTGGAGGTCTCCAAATACAGGCAGGGAAATGCCAGCACCTAAAAGAACAGCCAGGCTGAGGCTTCAGGAATCCCAGAATTTGAGCTATGTGGGTAAATACAATTTCACTGGATGTTCAGGGCGTGAGTAGGAAGAAGGGTGTTAGAAAAAAACATGTCAAGTAGCTTAAAAAGAAACTCAAGGCAGACACATCCACAGGAGAACTGAGGGGCCAGGAAGGAAAGGTTGAGCTTTTATACTGAGGGCTCCATGAGGGAGATTTGCAACCTTAAACTTAAAAATAAAGCAATGAAAAAAACATAACCAAACAAACAAAAAAATGTTTTCTTCATTCCTCTGGTTCTCAGAAAAAAAACACAGCTTTTATATTCTTTATAAAGATAGTGGGACTTGACTGTTCTGGAATTCACTGATCCAAACCAGCTCAGCCAAGCACTAAAAATTCTGTTACTGCCAGAATTATTTCTTACTTGCTCCCTATATTTTGAGACATCTGAGACTAAATACTCCTTTTTTTTTTTTAAACACAAAAACCCAACCTGTATTTCTGAAGCACATACAGAGGAGGAAATCCAACAGGGCAGAAGACAATTTTCACTCACCTTGAGGAGGGCACATTCCAACATTTGGATGAGCATGACTGTGACACAGAGGACTAGGCCAGAGCTGACACCACTGTCCCTTCCTAATTTTTATTCCAAGTCTCCCAGTTTTCACCTAGACATAAAGCCAAATGTGGTAAAACAAACAGTAAAATAAACACACTGGTTGGTTTCTTAACCAAGATGCTTTCCTAGCTGAGGAGCAGAAGAGAAACACAAGGAAGGGGCATGAAAAATTTAAGCAGAGAACTTATCTTGGGTTAAATTTGCAGCAGGTGTAAATTAGCCCTGCTCCAGTGCCCAGGACAACTGGCAGCAGCTGAGGGGGCTGGCTTGGCAAATGCTGTGCTTAAAGTGACAGGCAGCTGCTGGGCTGTGATTTCCCTGAGTCAAGACTCCTTCCTTTTAAAGAATTCCAGCTCCAAACGTCTCTGGAGCAATCATTGCATGGAGGTGTTTTGGAAATTGTGGTGAAAGTCTTAATTTGCAAGGGATATCTTCAGGAATAATCAATTAGTGTCCTCACATTGACCATAAATAATCATTGCAGTGACAAAAACTAGCTGACATCTGTTTGTTAGACACACAGAAAAATGAACAGGAAAAGACCATTTGCTATAATCCCACTCATAAATTTACCAGGTTTTATCTTAAAACCAATTTTCTTGCCTTCAGTATCTTCACTGCAAGATTTGCAGAACCTTACACCTCTGACAGTTAATAATCTTCTAATTTGCAGTCCATGTTTATTCATGATCAGCTCATTTTATCCAAGCACTGAGCCTTGACTTTACAGCTGATGAGCACAAAACAGCTTTGCAGAAAAAAAAGCAACATCTTTTATTAGATCAATGGACATAGATGGGGGGAGACAAACAAGAGTTTGGGTCAAAAAAACCCTTCTTCAGACCTGAAAGAGAAGCAGAAAAATTCAGGTTAAATACAGCTTGGAACCAGTTGCTCTGAATAAAGCTCAATGATGGCAAAATAATCACCCAATCCAAAGAAAATACTGAGTATATTAAAAAGGTGTGAGGTAATTAAGCTGTAGGATACAGGTGGGCCAAAGGAGATGCCATTAACTGGCAGGACTAAAATGTTCTAGGGGGTCCTACAGACTTGGTGTTACTCATAGAATATCCTGCCTATATAGCTCTAAACCCTGGATATGGGAGAGACAGCCTGGAGTGGTGGCTGTCTGTGATGTTGGCACTGCCCTTGGGAGGTGTTTTAGGAACAACCCTTCTTTAAAACCCCCCAAAATCCTCAGATTCTTGTTGGTTAAATCCCAGCTATGTGGGTTTGACCCAGGAACAGCTGAAAACCTCAAGGGACAATATTTGGCAGCCAGGGAAGAAATGGTGGAGGCATTACAAAAAAAAAAAGGAATATAATAGAAAGCACTGATCTATTCCTTTGAGCACAGGGAAAATCCTTTTCTGTGCCCACTTTCAGGCAGGGGAAAGCCCCCCTACCACCACTCACATCTCAGACATGATCAGCACAAGAATCAGCTCCAAAGCTGTAAAGAAAATGAACAGGACACCACACATCAGTGTCACAATTATTTACAAACAGCTGAAGGACAAGGAGTCACTTAAGTATGACTTTTAACATCTCCCTAGGCTGGTTTTATAAAAAAAGGACAAACATAATGGTTTGGATGATTAAAGCTCTATATTAGACAAGATATTATTTATAAATACATCCAATATAATTCAAACCACCTGAAAAAAAAACCAAACAAACATTCAGACCTGTGGCTAATTCTGTCTTCCCCTCTCTCAAGACAGCCCTGATTTTAGGAGAATCTGAAACAACTAAAATGAAAGCACAAGTTCCACAAGGTGTATTCATGGTGAGAGGAATTCACAGGAGGAAACAAGTCCAGCTGGAGTGAACTTACCTTAAAAAAGCTCTACTTTACATGAGTGAGCTGGAGCTGGAACCTAATGTCATGGTATGTCTCAGTGAAGGAGGAACAAGCCCAGAGTTCAAAAAGTTCCTCCTAAATGTTCAAAAGATCATGGTCCAAGTGGATTCACTCATCAGCCTCTGCATATTCCTTTCTCTGAACAGCTTCAGTAAAAAGAAGGTTAAAAGTGATCATAAACTTTGCCTTCCCTATCAGAAGTTGAAAGAAAGAAAGAAAAAAAATCGCTTCTCGTGGCATTTCTGGATGCATTTTAAAGAGGAATTGGGGAAAAATAAAGAAGAGGAAGGTGAAGAGAGAGCACCTTGTCTGCCTTCAAGGGACAGGGAAAGAAAGACAAACACCCTCGCCCAGCTCTGTGCCTGCCCCTGAGCTCCCAAAGGTGACATTTCCACCTACCCCATGACTAATTTAGGCAAAGGAAGAGTTTGCCTAAAGAAAAACCTATTTCCAGCGCGGGTATCAGAGCTGGAAGGGGGGGACAGGGAGGGACAGGTGCAACCCCAGCACGCATGACCCATCCAAACCCAGGGGACAATTGGCTCATCCCGCCCCGAAAATGTGACATCTGGGGCTCATGACAGTCACAGGGCTGCTCCTTGGGGCGGGGACAGAGCCAAGGAAGGGCTTATAAATGAGGCAACAAACCCGCCTTTTCCTTCAATGAAATAGTTCAGGCCAAGCCCGGCCCTGCGGGTTTGGTTTCCTTCCCGCTGAAAAGTCATTTTTTTGGTGCCTCTAAATTCCTCGTTTTGTTTTGTTTTCCCTCATCACATTCCTCACCCAGGATGAAATACATCATAGGCATCGGAGGGTGAGTTCACATCGCGTGTTTCTACTGCTTTTTCTTCCTTTTAACTTCACGGTTTTAAGACTTAGAATTTATGCCTCTCTCTGTAAATAAGACAGGATTCTAGAAATGGTGCGACTTGCTGGGTGCTTAAACAAGAGGCTGCTCTGCAGGGTGGTTTGTGCTGAAGTTGCAGGAAGTATGAAAAAAAAATGAATAATTAAGAATTAAGTAATAATTAAGTGATTTTGTAAGTCAGATGAAAGGAGTGGTGTGCCTCAGTTATGAAAAAGGGGCTTTTCCACACCTTGTTAGGCTTTTAAAAGGTCTAAAAGACAAAAGAAGGGAAAGAAAATCTGTTTTAAATGAGATTGGGGGTTGGGGGGG